CCTGTGCCTTGACTCTCTGCAATTTCAGTTCCCCAAGGTCAGCTGGTATCCAGAAATATTAAATAGGACATTCCAGAAATAACCCGTTCCTTGGTTTTCCACTGCAGGCTGCTCGGAGCAGGGTGGTGAAGTCTCACGCCATCTCCCTGCATCCCCCCGGATGTGAGTCACCCCTTGGCCGGCGTCTCCACGCCGTGTGTGCTCCCCACCCGTCAGTCACCAGGTAGCCGGCTTGTGATGGGATTGACTGTCGCGGTCATCGCTGTGCTTGTGTTCACGTCACCCCTATGGCGCCTGGCGTTGCGTCACAAGGCCCACACCATCATAGGGAGACGGATGAACACAGCATACTATGGTATTTTGAGAACGAGCGAAACCACCTTCCCCGAACTTCTGTTACAGTGCATTGTTAGAATTGTTCTATTTTATTGTTATTGTTGTTAATCTGTTAACTGTGCCTAATTTATAAATTAAACTTTACCCTAAGTGTGATAGAGAAAAAGCATGGTATTTATGGGGTTTGGTATCAGCCGTGGTTTCAGGCACCCGCTGGGGGCCTCACGCCCCATGGAAAAGGGGAGCTGCTCCATCTTCAAAGGTGACGAAAGCACTCCCCCGAAGAGATACCCACGTCCCCATGTGTGCAGCAGCAGCACTTACAAATAGCCAACGTATGGAAGCTGCCAAAGTGTTCGCTGATGTAAAGAAGTTGTGAGATACACACGCACACACACACACACACACACACACACACACTCACACAGTGGAGTATTATTCAGCCATAAAAACCATGGGCAATAACGTGGATGGACCTTGGGGGGATGATGCTAAGTGAAATAAGTCACACAGAGAAAGACAAATACTGTATGATCTCACGTGTATGTGGAATCTTAAAACGAAACCAAACCGAATAGAGAAAGAGACCCTGCGTGTGGTTACCAGAGGCGCGGGGTGGGGTGGGCGAAGGGGGAGTCGGGGGACGCCGGGCCAAAGGCACCTCCCTCCCTCCCTCCCGCTGGAAGACGAGGAAGTCCTGGGGCGTGACGGACGGCGTGACAACTCCAGCGGGCTGCCGCGTGACTGCCGCGTGACAGGCGGGAAAGAGGTTCAGAGAGTAACTCCCAGAAGTTCTCATCACAAGGAGCAAATGTTTCCCTTTATTCTTCTGCCTTTTCTTTTCGTTGTATCTGTGGTGTCTGAGAAGATGGATGTTAGCCGAACCGCTTGTGGTGACCATTTCACAGCACATGCAGATCAGATCACCATGCTGGGCGCCTCAAACGTGTGCAGTGATGTGTATTGATTATGTCTCAGTGACACTGAAAACAAAAATCACTTTGAAAAATCTTTCTCTAGAGTTTTAGAAGTGCTTCCTCCAAAATGTCTTTTCAAGATTTAATGTTTTAAAATATCGAATTTTATTTTATATTTATTTACAAATATCGCAAAAACTTCTCTGCATATTTTTTAAAATGGTCTTTGCTACTGCATCCTGCTTGAACAACAGGATTGACCCAACATTCCAGACTCCAGATGCACAACCTTTTCACAAAGTTTTAATGTGACACATTTAGACGGTGAAGGTGTCGTGTGTAATTCAGAATGAGTAGAATAGACAATGCCTGTTGTAGGAGCTGAAAGGTGAGAGGTGGGGGAGGGTCTGGGAGCGAGAGAGGCCGTTACCATCGTGGGGAAACTTCCTGCCCGGGAGGGAGCACCTGAAGTAGACACTGAATAACAGACGGATGTGGGAGAAGTTCAAGGCGTGTTTCAGGTTGGGAACAGATTGTTGGCAAAGGTGAATTTCGCTGAAATGGAGACTTCTTGCAGAAGAGGAAAGGAAATATTGACAAATCAGGATCGGATTAACTTACAGGTGTTTTCCAGTGTCATATGAAGGACTTTTGTGGATTTTCTCCCATAAATAACGGCGAGTTATGAACGCTTTGGAGGACTCTAACGCATTTGATAGAGCAGTTGTAGAAACTGCCCTCCCAGGTGACACGGGAGGACGCGGGAGGCAAGTAGACCATGTAGGAGCATGCGGTGTGCGACGCTGGGACGAAGTCAGACGCAGGGGAAAGCCAGACGCAGGGGCCGCGGCAGGAGCTGCAGGCGCCGGGCGGTAGTCCTGGCGCGGTAGTCCTGGCGCGGTAAAGGAGGCCGTGGCGGAGGGAGATAGGGCAGGAGGGGTCCTGAGGTTTCAGACGGGGTGACGGGGCGACAGAGACTACCTCTGACGGCAGAAACGGGAGGTCCAGGGGGAAAAGCCATTAGGGCCGAGGGGGGAGAGGATAGTGTGGTACGCGCATGGACTCAGTGTCATCGATAGAAAGTGGACGCAGCAGCCGGGTGCAGGACCGTGACCACGAGCACATGAGCTAGGTTCAGTCATACCTTCTTTACCCTGGTATCTTAAACACGCCATTCCAACATACAATCAATATACAGGTATTAATGAGGCCGTTTGCATTGTCGTTCTCTTACGGAGCCTCACACCGAGTGAGAATTCAGCATTCAGAGCACACCCCCCGTTCAGCTACATGTCAAGCGCTCAGTAGTCAGCCGTGGCCGGCGGCTACCCTGCTGGACAGGGCACTGTTAGTTTAATAAAACTCACAAATCTGTGTGGCAAGCGACTCCATTAAGCTGGTGCTAAGACTCACTGTATTGGAAAGGATAATTCTGTTTATCCTTTATCACTTCTGTTCCTTCTGTTTATTTTAGCCTTTTCATATTCAGAATGTTCTTTTCGCAAGACATCATTCTTCCCCAAGAGCACCAAGAATTGTTAGCAATATTCACAACACGCCGCTCCATTGCCCTCTCCTTCAGGTCTCCGTCGGACTAACAACTTTAATTAAACAAGTCGGTCCGAGTCTCTTTTTTTTTTTTCTTCTTTTGTCAGTCTTCACACTCTTGATTATGAAATAATTCAGCACCCTGTCTTCAGAACCCGGGGACAAAGGACATTTCATACGTTGGACGAGAAACTGCGTTTTCCCCGTTTCCCTGCCCGCCTCTGTGTGGATGTCTCCCGGGCTGAGTGTCTGACATCCCCTCGCCGGCGCTTCGGTCTTCCCTATACTCTGGAGAACAGTTCACAGGGAGCCTCCTTCTATAGGAAACACGCCAGGGACATTGTGTTCCATCCCCAACAATGAAATGCAGATTTCCATTAAAAGGCAAATCCATCATTTCAAAACGTTAACTAGGACGGTGCGTTAAAAGAGTCCAGCTGCTTAAACTTAGGGCATTGAAAGGCGTCTAAAAAAGTTTCCCTGGGTCTCAAGCATTTCCATTTAATTATGCACTGACTAGGTTTTTTTTTCATTCGGTCTACGGTCTTGCCTCGCTCTCGTGTGTGTGTGTGTGTGTGTGTGTGTGTGTGTGTTTCAGACAAGCCAGGCTCTGCCGAGGTGCTCCATTTACTTACGTGTTTTGCTCTTCAGAATATTGTTGTGTTTGCTAATACATTACTAATTTTTGCACAAGAAATACCGGAACGTTCTTACAGTGGTTTGCTTTTTCATGTGTAGGCTGACGAAGGCTTCCGTTACCCCCATTTAGTTTCTTTTATTTATTATTACTATTATTATTATTATTATTATTATTATTTTAAATCTTCTCTGAAGACCCCGGCTGCCAGGACAGCCGTGGTGGTCTCCCGCCAGCGCCCCGCAGCCCCCTCTTCAGCCGCCCGCCTCTCTCTGCCGCGCTGTCTCGCTGTGCTGTGCCCGGCTGTTTTCTGATCGGTCGAGGGGGAGGCAGTGGCCGAGAGAGGGATGCTCCCGATGGCCCTCTGGGGGCGCAGACCGTGGGGCTCCCCCGCGAGCTCCCACCCTCGGGCCCGGCCGCACGTCTACACGTCCGCAAGCACGTGCTGCGGGGGCTGGAGGAGCGCACGCGGCGTCAGACGTGCGGGCACAGAGCACGTCTTCCCCGCAGGAGGAACACGGGTGGCTGCTCGTTAAAAGTCACAGCGGAGGCTCTGTGCTCGCCTCCTCCGGGGGCGGGGCCTGCCTTTTCTCTGGACCAGCTCCGGAGACGGAGGCTGGGACCCTACCAGGGACTACTGTCTAGCAGAGACGGGGCTCCCGTGCCCCGCTACTCAACCTTGCCTCGGTTTCTCACCCGTGTGTGTGTGGCTGTCCTAGTACACTGGCCGTTAAGCTTTATGAGCTCCCATGATAACATCACCCCTGCCGCCCCTGCCCCCCGCCCCGGGGCCAGTCTGTAAAAGTCAGCATTTCCAAGGATTCTTGGGGATCCAGTATGTTTTTACCAAGACCCGTTTGGTCCCGTTTGCAGACCTCTCCTCTCCCACGTCCGTTTTTCCCTAAAGAACCATTCATTTTGAAAAAGAATTTGTTCTCGTTAGTACCAGTGCCCTTCCAGTGGGTCCTTTTTCTCTGCCCCGTCGAAGGGCATCGTGTTGTTTTTTTTTTTTTCTGGCCCCACGTTGGTCCCAGGCCGAAACGAAGGAGCATTGCTGTGCTCCAGCATAATTTATGGGGGGGGGCGCTGCATGCTGGGGTCCCGTGCTCACAGGCCCCTGCCAGCACTGGCTATCAAAACTGCTTAGGCTGCAAATAAAATATGAAATGAAATCCATCTGGCACTTCTCATTGAATTAGGACCAGAACATTTTTGTTAAATATTAACAGATGGCTAAATTCTTAATATCAAACTAACATTTGAAAACTTCTAAGGGGACCCACATGAGGAAGAAAGGCTGGAGGCCCATGTGTTCCCTCCATCCCCGAGCCCCTTCCTTCCTCTGCCCGCCCCCCCCCCCAGGCCCTCCGGCCACGTGTGGGGAACCATCGGAGGTCCCCGTCTCACAGAACGTCTGCTCTCCCCCATATCTGCTATCAAAATGGCGGGAGACGGTACCCAAGGGGTCGTGACCAAACGTTGGCCGGCCCAGGGGGAATGTCGCCCCCGGCCTGCTTCAGGGTCTCTCACTAAAGCTCCGCCTCCTCCCGCTCTCTCCTCAGGAGAAGGAGAAGAAGTACATGCTCCCCTTGGACAACCTGAAGGTGCGCGACGTGGAAAAGACCTTCATGTCTAGCAAGCACATCTTTGCACTCTTTAACACGGAGCAGAGGTAAGCACGCCGAGCCTTCAGAGCGCGGGCCCCGGAGCCCCTGCGGGGTCCGGGGGTCTGGTTCCCCGTCGTTGCTGTGGGCCCACCTTAATGTGTGGCTGCCCCTCCATTTATGTTGGGCTTTTAGCTTCCCCCCGGGGCCATGGGCTCAAAAGGGTCAGAGTTAAAACGAGAAGGATCTCTCAGTGCTAATGAGTTTATCCCCTGCGGGCACCCGCATCCGTCAGGCTGCTTCTGTCCTTCGAGTGCATTTTGTGGCTTTGAAGTCTCCCCTGTCCTGGACGTACTGTTTACCTGCTCACAAGTTACTCAGCTCTGATTTTAATGGTATCTGTCCGGCACGAGTGGATACAGACCCTCTGGTGTATTGTAGATGAAGACGAAATTCACGCATCGGTGACTAGGATTACCCAGTTAATGTGAATACACACACACGGTACTTCACGGTTTTTCAGAACACCATCTATGTTCATATCTGTTTCTTGTAACAGTTGCTTGAGAGGTTAAAAGATAGAGTAGCAGTGTGGCTACCATTTTATAAATTAGGAAATGGAGCTCAGAGAGGTTCACTGATTTTCTTAAGGCCTCAAAACAGAAGTCCCCGGGAGAGCTGAACCCTCAGTCAGAACTTTCTCATCTAAGGGCCCCTATCTTTCTTTTCTTTTCTTTTTTCTTTTTCTTTCTTTTTTCTTTTCTTTTCTTTTCTTTTCTTTTCTTTTTTCTTTTCTTTTCTTTTCTTTCTTTTTCTTTCGTTCTTTCTTTTCTTTTCTTTTTTCTTTCTTTTCTTTCTTTTCTTTCCTGCCACTCACCTACCATAGCTAGAGTTCCTCTTGGATTGGTCGTCTCGGAGTGCCGTGGTTGGTGACTGAAACCGGAGGTCAAGTTGAACAAATGGGGAGGTCACAGACATCAAGACAGAGAAATGTAAAGGGGCCATGACAACTAGGCAAGGATAACATAGCTCTTTCCCAGATGGAAATGTTATAGATAGGAAACAGCTCATTCATGTCTATGAGTCAGTCACTCAGAGACGGAGTGACTCGGCGGAGGGGTCCACTTTTAACCCATTTTTCCAGGCCTTTTATCTTTATTTAGCAATGAACGGCGCTCCTTGATCAGGTCCGGGGACTGGCCCAGGGTCAGTCACACGGTGACTCAAAATAGCAGAAGAAGACTCCTTGCTACATTCTCCGTCAGTGGCTCAGAGTGACTCACTGTACAAAAACACTCGGAGAAACCACAAGGACGAGCCATGGGAAGAACCAAGGGGCCAGCCAAGTAAATACAGCTCCCCTATCAAATACCGAGAGGGGATGTTCTGTAAGGATTTAGTGTGATTTGAGGGGGAAAAAACATTCACAATGAAAAAGAGGAGGAAGGGCTCCTGGAGAGAGCGGCCGCACGTCCAGGTCCCGGGACCCAGCCCGGAGCTTGAACACGGTCCTCGGCGCCAGGCGGGGGGCGGGGGGGGGGGTGGTCCGGGCGGACTCAGCGGAGGGGCGCTTGGCCTCCTTGCGGGACCCAGAACGGGAAGTGTGACTACCACACAGGAGCTCAGACTGAATGTGTGTCCTTAGTCAGCCCGGACAGTTCTGGTTCTAAAAGGGCTTGGTACAAAGTAAAAAAAAAAAAAAAAAAAAATCAGGCAACAGTAGAGTTCCTTTTTAGAAGAAGCACAACTGTGGGTTTTAAAGAGAGCAAAAGTCACCATATAAGAAAACTCCGTGAACTTCTAAAAACCTAGGTGTTCTGGAGTCCTAGTTCTCAGCAGGTACTGACCTCCATAACGACGTCCCAGGGACCCCGGTGAGGGCAAGGATTCCCCCCGCCCCCTGCAGGCGCGCCCTTGTCTTTTCCTCGGAAATCCTGACTCCTTTCCATGGTTGTTGTGCTGGCTGGGGTGTCGAATTGTACAGCCGGGCATCCTTGTCTTGCCTTTATTTTAAGGAGTATTATTTCATTATTTCATACTGAATCACTTTCCGATAGGTACCTGATACGGGGAAAGAAGACCCCTTGTGTTTCTAGCTGCTAAATTCTTTCTGTTTTCATCACGGATGGGTGATACCGTGTACCGAGTGCTTTTCCTGCCTCTACAGGGAAGACTGTGTCACTGTCTTCTTTAACCTGTTGGTGTGGGGAAATATGTTAATAGACTTCTAATGTTAAGCCATCCTTGATCTCCTGGGATGAAACCTAGTTAAGGCATGGTGTGTCATTACGTATCATGCATTCCCGGCTCAAGTTGGCCGGCATGTTATTTACATTGTTGCATCTGTGTTCGTAAATGGGACTGGCCCATCAGTGTCCTCTTTCACACCTTCCCCTCCCGGTTTTCATGGTGAGGGTCTGTTGGCTTCATCACTGAAGCGAGAACGAAGACTCTCGTTCTTTGGAAGCTTTTGAAATAAAATAAAGATGAACTATTAACTGTGGTTCGGTAGAACTAGAACTCATCAGGCCCTGGGGGGGGGCAGTTTTGTGAAGCAGATTTTTAACTCGTGATTCACCGAGTTTCATCATTATAGATTTGTTCAGGTTTTCCATTTTTCCCAAGGGTCAGTTTGGACCAATTAGATTTTTTTCTCTAGGAAATTGTCCATTCTGTTCATTTTTAGATATATATATATATTAGTGTCAAATATGTCTTAATGTTCTATATTTTCAAATTTCTGCCTTATCTGAAATCTGGGCCCTTTTTTATTTCAAATAGGAAGCCTTATCTTCTTTAACACGATCGCTGTTGCTGAAATTGTATCTATTTGTAAAGAACCCACCTTTAACTTTTTCGATCCTGTATTGTGTGTGTTTTTTTCCTATTTCAATAATTTCTCCTTTCGTCTTCATTATTTCCTCCCTTGTATTTTCTTGTGTTTACTTTCTAGGTCTTCTTTTAAAAGTTAATTTGGACGTATAGCTCATTGATGTTTATCCTTTCTTTTTCTTATACATGCATCACATCTACAGAATTCCCTCTAGGTCATCTTTAGCTCCTCACCAGGAATTTTTAAATATAATGTTTTTATTATTAAGTTCTGTTTCCTTCAACCTTCTGTTACCATAACATTCGTTACGATTTCTTCTTCCAGTTGTTTGGCAGTGTGGTTTACATGGTATGGTGCATGGAATTTCATTGTTTGGCTGTTGATTTCTAACTTAATTGTGTCGTGGTCAGAGAATAAAGTCTAGCAAATGGTGATGCCTCACAGCCCTTCCACATGTGCTTGAGAAGAATGTCCTGACCGGGGAGTGAACAGTTGCATAAGAGTCCCTTAGATAGATTATGCTTGTTCCTTGTATTGCTCAGTCTCTATAGTTATGAGCTTCTTTATGGTGGTTAATTCAAACACTCAACAAGTATATGTTCGGCAGCTGTAATGTGCTGGGTGTTGCTCTATGGTTTTAAACTACGTCTGTGAATAAAACACAGAAAAAAAAAGGATGATGCATTTTAGATTACATTCTAGCAGGGATGCTGGCAGGGAGACACATACCAGCCATAACGAATCTCACTTTATAAGAGGGGAGTGAAAAATCGCACTCTATGAATGGGAGCTTGATGATCCTAGTGAGTCTGTCCATTCTTGATGTATGTATTTTGAGGTCAGTCTGTGTTATCAGACTCTTATAAGTGCAGAATTGTCGTGTCTTCCCGGTGACGCTTTCTTCTAATAATATTGTGGCAACCACCTTTATTTCTAACATTGCTCTCTACCTTCAAATCAATTTTGTCTGATCTTAACATAGTGATATTACCTTTCTTTTGGTTAATATTTGCTTGGTTCATCATTTTTGCTTTCTTCGACCATCAGTCTTTCTTTGTTTGTATTGTTTTTCTACAGCATGTAGCTGGACTTGTTTATTTCTGTTGTTCTAAAACGAGGTCTTTCTCTTTTAACCTGTATTTTAGCCCATTTATATGTAGTATTATCGTTACTGATTTTTAACTGATTTGGACATCTTATTGTAGTCTTTCTTATTACCCTGTCATTCCTATGCTTGTTTTCTCCCTTCTTTCCTGACTTCTTTTTCTTTGATTTAGTTTAATTCATCAATTTTTCTGTTGGCTTGGAAATTGTTTATTTTTAATCTTTTAGACATTTTTTTAATGTTTCTCACTTGAAGTTTGAAGTTAGTCATTCAGCACTCTTCCCGAAGTGACCGTGAATCACTCAAACTCCACCCCTCTCTCCTGACTTCATATCACGGCCCCCTCGTGTCTGAGTTCCAACCACCTTCTTACTCTCTCGCTCAGCGTTATTCTGTTTACACAGTGACTGCTTAGATGTATCGACGTGTTTGCCAATTCCTTTGTTCACTTCTCTCCTTGCTTCCCAGCGTTTAATTCTGGTTCGCTCCCCTCCACACTGAAGTGCACCCCCGAGGAGTCCCTTCAGTGGGCACTGTTCGGTTGTCACTTTGTCGGGTGTTTGCTTTCCTGACAATGTTTTGTGCTGCCCTCATTTTTGAATAAGACTTCAGTGGGATATTAAATTAGGGGCTTTTTAAAAATTTAGTACGTGAAAGTCATGATTCCCCTGCATTCTGGCATCTGCTCTGCTTTTGAGAAGTTGGCTGGCATTTTCATTATTGCTTCTTTTAATAGGTAACCTGTGTTTTCTCAGTGGTTGAATTTAAGAGCTTTTTTGTCTTGGGTACACTGAAGTTTTAATACAATGTGTGTTTTGCTCTACACTTCCTGCTTAGGGTTCACGGTGCTTCCTAAACTCGAGGACTCACGGTTTTCAAGGGGTCTGGAAAAGATCTCCGTCACTGTCTCTTTGACATTTATCTCTGTTCTTTCTTGTTTCTCCTTCTACAGCTCCTATTAGACACGCATTCGTCCGTTTTCTCCTGTTCTTCACTCACACGGTCACTTCTCTGTCTCGAACCTACCACCCTGTGCCTCCTTTTGGGTCACTTTCGCAGCTCAGTGTCCCGGCTCGCCGACCTCTCTTCACCCGCTACTGGGCCGGGACAAACTCTCCTGCCATCTTTCT